TAAAAGTTATTGATTCTAGTCTTCGAATGAATTTTGTTTTTCGTGGTTATTCATGCGCTCATAATAAACTTTGAAATTTATAAACTGGGCTTCGGGGTTAATTGTCAAGCTTGCGGTCTACATCCAAGCACACTCTAAAAATAAGCGCCTCCCATTTTCTCAAAACCTCTCCTCAGCAAGAGTGTCAGTCTCTCTCATCTGTTCAAGTGAACTGACTATTTCTAATTCTAAACCCTAATCCTAAATCAACCCAACCCAGAGCGGAATCTAAGCATTTTCTTATCATCTTGCCATCCTACACTCCTGAGTGGAATCATAGCAGACAAGTCAGCTCCTAAAGTAGTCGCCCATGTAGAAGACTTCGAAGACGACGACGAGCCACAGTATGTCATCGCAAGAAGACGTTTGAGTACAGAGTCAACTGATCCTGGCAGAACAATAGCAAATGTCCTAGAGGACATCGCAGCTAGTCATCCTCCTCCCACCAATTGCACTTCAACCCATAGACCCAATTCAACGCACAGATCTAGAGGGCAGCACCGATGACACCTCGAGAGCGCTCCTGGATCTAAAGAGAGGAACGCATATGAGCGATTTGGTAGAGATACATTTGGCAACAAAAAAGATGTGAGTTTTCTGAAATTGTATCTTTTTCACGTATGGTTGGTCATGACTACAGATTGGTTGTTAATATTGTAATTTGGTTGTTAGGGTTACAGATTGATTGTTAACATTAGAGATTGGTTGTCAATGTTACAGATTGGTTGTTAAGATTATAGATTGATTGTTAACATTAGGGATTGGTTGTTAATTTTACTGATACGTTGTTAAGGTTTCTCTATTTGTTAAGGTTGTGATTGATTTTTAATGGTGTATATTTGTTTATGTCTAGGTATGATTACAAGATTTACGTTTACATCTACATAAAAGCTATTATTGAAGGAAGAAGCGTTCGACACTTCACACCCGAAGATCAAACTATATGGGTCATGCGAGTGAAGCTAGCATCTCATTTACTAATTGAGGGGAGAATGAAGAAAAAAACTTCTCGATAAACTTGACGATGATGACGTTGAAAGAACAGATCCATAATATAAAGAAGATCTGGATCATAGGCTTGATTGTTAGTGTTGAAAACAACTTTAACTGGTTTTCAAAACACTATTAAATGTTGTAAATATTATGAATGTAAATATTTAATTGTTTATGGTATGTAAGTGAGTTTATGAGGAGTAATCTATTGGTTGTTATGTTTACACGTTATTTCAGATTAGAGCTTAGTTGTTAAGATTACAGCTTAGTTGTTAAGGTTATGACTTAGTTGTTAATGTTACAACTAAGCCATAATCTTAACAACTAAGTCATAACATTAACAACTAAGTTGTAATCTTAACAATTGTGTCGTAACCTCAACATTTGTGCCGTAACTTTAACAAATAAGCCGTATTCTTAACAACTAAGCGATAAGATTAACAACTAAGTCTTAAATTTAACAATTTTGCCGTAACTTTAATAACTAAGCCATAACCTTAATAACTGTGTAGTAACCTTAACAATTGTGCCATATCCTTAACAACTAAACCATAACCTTAATAACTAAGCGATAACCTTAACAATTAACCTTAAAACTTAGTACTAAACTTCACGACTTATGTTTAATGCATACTATTGTTTCATGCATTCTTTGGTCAAAATTATGCACAACATTGTAAGATACAATCCAAGAGGATATCATCCAATATATATTGTTAGCTGCTGATACAAAATATTAGCATTTAATACACATGGTTAGCAACTAGATAGGCTCGTTGCGTGTTTGTCGATTGTGACATTCCATGTGGCATCGGGAGCACTTAACAGGATGGGTATTCAGCGACCTATTGTTTATTCGTCTGTTGCATTGTCTTCTATGTCTTTTTTTAGTAAGGGAAGCCTTAAACTGGCGGTCATCTGGTGGTACAACGCTCTTCTCGTAATCTAGAATAGGAAAGAGGATTGGTGAAAGTACCCTAGAGGGGGTGAATAGGATAATTTCTATCTAATCCGATATCGATGCCAAAATTAAAACTCTACAATGCAATATCCTAACAATATAATGTACTACAAATTATAAGCAAGAATATGCAAGGATAAACAATATGACAATAGGCGATATAAGAGAAATATATGCCAAAGCCAAACACAAACACAGGGATTGATCACGGAGTTCAGTCAACCCACGACCTACGTCTTCGCTCCTCACCTCGAGGAGATCTCCACTATCAATCAAAATGACTACACAATCAGTTTTCAAAGCTTACCGAAAACTTTTATAATCCACACATTGTCAATCCCACAATACACTCTTCTAAGTGTTGGCCTAGCCGTGTCACCTTTCTCAAGTGCTTGGCATTACTACCTCTCTCTAGGCTTTTATAATCAGGTCAATCCTCTTGGAATCGACTCATGTCTCTCACCAACCACTCCTTTAAGTATCCTTGTGTATTGTTTACATCGGGAACGATTCTTATTGCAGATTCCATTACAAATGTTTTAACGAAAATAAAAGAGTGAGCCTTACACGCATAAAACTTTTCTTTACAATAAAATCAAAATAATTGGTGTTCCCTAGAAACACACGCAGAAGCTCCTACGTAGTAGCTCCTGCTTACGTGGTATTTTTGCCTGTACCGGGGATGCGTAATCCGTGGACCATCGAACCAACGCTCCGATTCGGATGCGAAGAAGGATTGACGTTGATGTTTTGACGTGGAAACAATAACAGAAGAAAATATCTTAGCAAAGTTAAATAAATACTCTTCTCAAGATCAAATCTAAGTTTGAACTCGAGGAAACACCGAAGGGCTCTTGAAATTACTTGAAAGTGGAATACGACTCTCTCTCTTGCTCTCCAAGTTCGCCAAAAGCTTGTCTCTACTTCGTGCTCAATGCTCCTTCAGTTCGTCCTTTCGCCAGTGCGTGTACAAGTGTGCCAAGAGGGTATTTATAGCCAATGGAGGCCGTAACCGTCGAAAAAGAGTTGAAACAACTGGTAACCATCATCTCCTTTAGGCGAGATAGTGTTTACTATCTCGGCTAAAGGAGGTGGTTCCAGCCAGTTTGTAACCATTGCCCACTCTCTTAAATTGCGATAAATGCTGCCTTTATTGAGGGTAGTGGGCGTATTTCACAACTATAACCGTCCATTAATGTTAATGAATGTTTCCCAGTAGTTAAGGAGCCGTGTGGGCCCCGTAAAAAGTCACAAAATCGTCAAAAAACATAAGAGGCTGTATCGCAGTTGGCGAGACAGCTCTCACTGTCTCGCGTATCCGAGACAGTGAACACTGTCTCAAAAACGCGAGATAGTGAAGACTATCTCACCAACTATGTGACAGCTCCGTGTCCCTTTAAGTTGTCATTTTGCGTTCTTCTTTACTTCATTTTGCTTTGGCTACTCTTCATTGACTTAGATGATGACGTTCTTTGTCTTCTCTCAGTCTTGAGCTATATTTAGGACCTACAGGTAATTTTTAACGCCTACAGATACCCCCTTCAAAGTATTCAGCCTCCTTAGTATTTTATCGAGGAGTCTGAAATACTTTTGACAATATATGCCCTGCTTCTGCCAAATGTTGGACTGTGTAGAAGGACCCGTAAGTGGCTTTAGTTTCTTGACTTCTTTAGTCTTTAGCTTCCTCTATATTTATTGAGGAGTCTGAAATACTTCTGGTACTGTGACGTCACTGACCATTGTTAAAATCTGGAATTGAAGTTGATGTATTGACTTTTGAGAAGTTGAATTTGCTCGTATCGTTGAGTTGACGCTTAATTGATCATCTTTGTCAGGAGTTCGTAGCTGAATTGTAGTTGGACTCACGGAGATAATTTGGAAATATAACTATCTTGAGTCAAATCTTAGTGTAACTACTTATGTATTGCTGGACGCTGATTTTTGTTGTTGGTGTAAACACAGTTTATACTCGTACGTAGCTGGACTTGAACTGAGGAGCAGACTCGATTAACGGTAACCCCTCATAATAAGAATGAGTGACACTACTCTGGCCCGTAACTGCATCGACGGTGAAGATTGTGGAAGGAAAATGGACTGATACAGGAGATACACATAAGCTGTGTAAGTATAGTCCTAAAATTTTAGAGAAAACGGTATATCTTACTCCATAAGATATAGTCGCTATCTCATAACAGGTGTGACGATTTTCTATTTACCACATGTATAAAAGAGATATGCGTTACTATGCATGGGCATTATAACGGCATACGTAAACCTTTCAATACATGTGGGATGATATGAAATCGCCCCTATGTATTCTGAAGTGTGTTTTGTCCAAGCAAAACAAATACTTTTAAGCGTCGATCCCCTCAAAGGAGGATACCGGCTCTTCTCGAGGGTATCTCAAAGGATACAAACGAGGATCTGCATGCAAATATAGGTACATGTATATGAAATTGACAAAATACAGTATCTAAATTCATGAAAGGGTGAAGGAAACGTACCCCCATGCGAAGCGGCAACAGGGGCAGCCTCTTCAGGGGACTGAGCAGTCGAACGGCCTCGGGAACCTCTGGATCGACGTGGCGACATGATGAGTAAATGATCTACAAGGAAACCCAACGAAAAAGGTCAGGATTTTGAGCAAGAAATCGACCAAAATATCACAAAATATAGCCGAAACAGTGCATGCAAGGTCAAAGTTGAAAAAAATCAAAGTTTTAAAGAAAAGAGGGAAATCAAACCTATCAGATCCGAGTGGAATCTCCCCGAACAAAAGCACCACCCAAGTCGGCAACAAAGAGGAGAAGAAATAGAAGAAAACTGGTCCAAAATCGCTGAAGAAATCGCCTGAAAATCGCCAAAATCCGACGTAAAAAATCTCAGAAAAAACCCTAAGTCGGGTTTTATAACCCCCGACTTAACCGAGCGGGATAGATTTTACTGTCTCGCATCGCGAGACAGCTTTTACTGTCTCGCACCGCGAGACAGCATTTACTGTCTCGCACCGCGAGACAGCATTTACTGTCTCGTACAATGAGACAGTATAAGCTGTCTCGTATCACAAGATGGCAATGATTCTTTGAGTATAATAGGCGATATCGTGCTGTTTCGATACACATGGATACTCCAATGGGTACACGAGTCTAAACTGTTTTCCTACATTCGACGGGAAGTTTCTGGATAATATTACTCTTGATATTCTTAAGGATAACCTGACGAACTTTCGAGAGACAAACAAGCATCAATCTGGAAATACAAACTTCAATTCAAGATCTCAACAACGGTCGAGCGATAAACGCAGTGCCGAAGAAGTATTAGCTATTCTACAAAGAACTGAATAGACTAATAAATGAAGAGATCAAGAGCCGAAGCCATTTTACAGATTCTTCTACACGATCTACTCAACCAAGCATTGAAGGGATCGTAAGTAAAATCTATCTTATCCAAAGTATCCCATGCTCCTCTATAAAAGAATGAGTCTGGAATACTTTGGAGGGGGTATTTGTAGGCGTCAAAAAATGCTATGGGATATCCAAACATAGAGAAAATCATTCAAAAGAAATCGACAGATATGAACTGTCTCGCCAGCGAGACAGACTTTGCTGTCTCGCCAGCGAGACAGACTTTGCTGTCTCGCCAGCGAGACAGACTTTGCTGTCTCGCCAGCGAGACAGACTTTGCTGTCTCGCCAGCGAGACAGACTTTGCTGTCTCGCCAGCTTTGCTGTCTCTCCAGCGAGACAGTATTTGCTGTCTCGTCAGCGAGACAGTATTTGCTGTCTCGCCAGCGAGACAGTATTTGTTGTCTCGCAGCGAGACAGTGTATGCTATCTCGCAGCGAGACAGTGTTGAAATGGTCAAAACTACCTTAAGTAACTCCCACCCACGTGTCCATTAACTGCCAAGGGACATGGAGAACATCGTGGACGAAAATCACGTGAATAACTGCCAAAATAACGGAGTTTGAAACGTGGGAAAGCAGTTACAGCGAAAACTGCCTGGAATACTCGTTTTCCGAGACAGTATTTACTGTCTCGCGCGAGATAGTAAACACTGTCTCGCCGTACTAATTCACTGTTTTGTTGAGTTTTTTTAGTTACAGACCCCTGAGGCTATAAATACCCCCCTAGGGTCATTTCTGAGGAGGATCGAGCATATTTTCGAGCAATCCAGAGCAGAGAGAGAGAGAGAGCAGATTTAAGTTTTCGTGTAACTCCTTGAAATTGAGCTTTGACTTGATTTT